ATTCCGTTTCTACTGATTTCAGGAGAACATTTTTCATCCAATATTGTAGATCTGATTTAGTGAAGAGTATCTATAACTTGCAAAGATATACACAGATATTCTAGTACCGGTGATATCTGAAATACTGCATCATGCATACAGACACCGTTGCCAGTGGTTAGGCCTTACACGATATACTATGGTACACAAAGAATGATAATGGCGATTATTTATTTACAAACCAAGATCGTTAAACATACTTGTAGTTCGTACATAGACGTATGAAATAGGCATTAGTGTCCATCAACAATGCAGTAAGGACTTTCCTAATTTAATTGCCTCCAAGTGTTTGTCCTGTACCCCACCTATGGCCCCGAAAGCCTTGGCCTTCATTTTCGGGTCTGCGACTGGCAGGTGGAACACCAAAACCACTAACACCACCGCGCCTACTAGGAAAATATCGATACCTACAAAAAAAAGAGGAATGATTAGAAACGTTTGCATTTAAAAAGCATGTCTAGAGTAAAAATTGTAATATCTAATCCAATCATACAGAAATGACGGTGTTCCTATGAGTTGACGTCCACCGTATTCTTGCGGGTACTTGAAGACAAGGAAGAAATAAACGTGGCCAACAAAAATTCCGATTAGTTCATCTTTACCGCTGAAAGAGTATAATAAGAACGTTACAGATTAGTCATGGAACACTATCACAACATTGAAGTGATATTGTACAATCAATGTAGTCCTTACGATCCCCTGATGACGATGTTAAATATAGCAAATACCCATGGCAAGTACATCGCCTAATTTATGAAACATTTCGATAGTGTAAAATAAGTACAAGTAAGGTTGAAAGTTTTTCTAGATATATACAATATTAGCAACCTTAAATTGAGTGCCAAAGAAGAATTGCACAATTACATCTCGATTCACTTGACACCACACATAAAGGACGCTTAAGACCATTGGAGTCATCAGTAACTATAATTTCCAGGATGGATTTAATTAAATTATACATGTTGTAATAATTCAATAACATCA